AAAAATTGTTCATCTCTAGTGAGCCAGTATGTACTGAGTGGATCTTAGGTTATCATCAGGAGCATATGCTCCAATTGTTCTGGCTATAAGGAAGAATTAGGTGATCAGAGATTTTGAAGAACCAAGAGAATATTATATTTGTCCATAGATATTGCCTAAACATTTGCTTATACCTTGTTAAGAGCTAGGACATTTGGCCCTAACTCAGTATAGCAGTATCAAACTTGGTGTGCCTCACCAGAGATGACCATCCATATTCACAAAATTCTATACTATGGGAGAGCGAACATGGAGAAACCCCAATCCCAATCAATCTATTTCTCTATTTGCTACTCTCTGAGCTAATTGCTGCTAGAATGTTCTCCTTATCTGAAGTTTTAAAATTCCAGCACAGATCTCCCAGTCTTAAATTTTTAATCAAATTACACATTTTTCTCTCTAATACCATGTATTAATATTTTCTCCCATATTGTCCTGCCTCCTTTGTCCTTCCTCCACTGCACCTCAGTGTTATACTAACAAATGGACAGATAATTAAATACCTGGCATTACCACAATCCTCCCTTTTGCCTGAAAAAAGAAAAAAAAACAAATTTTAATATCTTTCTCTCAAATGCGGTAATAAGGCAGTGAGAACAGAAGCATTAGTGAAAGTATATTAAAATTTTAAAACTAGTAGTAGTGTCTAACTTTCAATAGTCATCTCTATTTCTTTGGGATCTTGGGTAAGAAAGATGTTTAGCATAGTAACTCTTTCTATACAGAAAGGTTCTTTTATTGTATTGCTTTGAAGACTTGTACTGTGATGAACTCAAAGAATAGGGGACTACACTATAAATACTGAACAATCGCATCACCTTAAGAAAAGCCATTACTGAAAAATAACACTAATTTTGAGTTCTTGGTATGCAGTGGAATGGAAGTAGTTGAACAAGATTTAAACTAGATTTCAGCAGGGAAAAAAAAAGAGCACAGCATAATAGTAAATTACTAGGAAAAAAACAACTTACTCAAATCTTGTATCCTCAACTAAATTCCCTAGCTTATTATATTAGTTAAACAAAGCCACAAGTCCATTTAACTGGATTTTAAGTAATAAAACTAGACTATATGATTAATTTCTGATAATTCTGGATGATAGGTATTGAAATTTCCTTACTTGTATTAAAATGTTCATTACATTTCCTAAGTAAGTTTTGGGCATATACTCAGTATCACTGAAAGTCAAAAGGATATCACCCAAATGCAAATTTAGTGGAACTACTAGTAGCAGGTAGGTAGTGATGACAGAATAAGAACTACACACTATGCACCAGCATTTTTCACAGAGCTAGAACAACCAATCCTAAAACTTGTGTGGAACCACAAAAGACCCTGAATAGCCAAAGCAACTCCAGAAAAGGGAAAAACTGGAGGCATCACGATTCCAGACTTCAAGCTACATTACAAAGCTGTAGTCATCGACATGATATGGTACTGGCACAAAAACAGACAGATCAGTGGAACAGAACAGAGAGCCCAGAAATGGACCCTCAACTATATGGTCAACTAATCTTTGACAAAGCAGGAGAGAATATCTAGTGGAAAAAAGACAGTCTCTTCTTCAACAAATGGTGTTGGGAAAACTGGTCAGCCACATGCAGAAGAATGAAACTGGACCACTTTCTTACACCATACACAAAAAGAAATTCAAAACGGATGAAAGACCTAAATTTGAGATGGGAAACCATCAAAATTAACCTCTTCAACCTTGGCCGTAGCAACTTCTTACTAGACACGTCACTGTAGGCAAGGGGAACAAAAGCAAAAATGAACTTTTGGGACTTCATCAAGATAAAAAGCTTCTGCACAGCAAAGGAAATAATCAACAAAACTAAAAGGCAGTCTATGGAATAGGAGAAAATATTCGAAACAACATTATCTGATGAAGGGTTAGTATCCAAAATCTATAAAGAACTTATCAAACTCAACACCCCAAAAACAAGTAATCCATTTAAGAAATGGGCAGAGAAGACATGAATAAACACTTTTCCAAAGACATCCAGATGGCTACCAGACACATGAAAAGATGCTCAACATCACTCATCATCAGGGAAATATAAATCAAAACCACGATGAGATACTGCCTCATACATGTCAGAATGGCTAAAATTAATAACACAAGAAACAACAGGTGTTGGTGAGGATGTGGAGAAAGGGGAACCCTCTTGCACTGTTGGTGGGAATGCAAACTGGTGTGGCCACTCTGGAGAACAGTTTGGAGGTTCCTCAAAAAGTTAAAAATAGAACTACCCTATGATCCAGCAATTACACTACTAGGTATTTACCCAAAGGATACAAAAATACAGATTTAGAGGGGTACACGCACCCCAATGTTTATAGCAGCATTATCAACAACAGCCAAATTGGAGAGAGCCCAAATGTCCATCAACTGATGAATGGATAAAGAAGATGTAGTTTATATATACAATGTAATATTACTTAGCTGTCAAAAAAAGAAATCTTGCCATTTGCAATGACATGGATGGAGCTAGAGTATATTATGCTAAGTGAAATAAATCAGTCAGAGAAAGACAAATACCATATAATCTCACTTATATGTGAAATTTAAGAAAGAAAACAGATGAACATATGGGAAGGGGGAAAAGAAAAAAAGGAGAGAGGGAAACAAGCCCTAAGGGACTCTTAATGATAGAGAACAAACTGAGGGCTGATGGAGGGAGGGAGGTGGGAGAGGGTAGATGGGTGATGGGTATTAAAGAGGGCACTTGTGATGAGCACTGGGTATTGTATGTAAGCGATGAATCACTGAATTCTACTCCAGAAACCAATATTGCACTGTATGTTCACTGATTAAAATTTAAATTTAAGGGGCGCCTGGGTGGCTCAGTTGTTAAGCGGCTGCCTTCGGCTCAGGTCATGATCCCAGAGTCCTGGGATTGAGTCCCACATCGGGCTCCCTGCTCAGCGGGAAGCCTGCTTCTCCCTCTCCCACTCCCCCTGCTTATGTTCCTGCTCTCGCTGTCTCTGTCAAATAAATAAATAAAATCTTTAAAAAAAAAAAAATTTAAATTTAAAAAAATTACATATTATGTCAAGCTCACTAATTTTTAGAATGAAACCATTGAAATTGTATGGAAATTGGATTTTTTCATGTGTGATTCTTGAGATGAGTCTTTAATACCAGATCAGCCAATTCTACCCCTTAACACAATTCCAAGTCATCTGCCTCAACTATGCAGCTTACGCTCTCAGGGTTGGGTACATAATCTTTCTTCTACTGGGTGCTACTGAAGTATAAAAAAATTCAATAAAGAACCACATACAGCTTAGTTTCTTTTTCCATAGAAAAAATGAAACAACTGACTAATATATTCAATAAATACAATTCATGTTGAAAGTACTTAGTTCTATATCATGACCAGTTAGGACAAATAAAAAAAACAAAAAGATTGGCTTAGTGAGGGGAAAATGGGGAGAAGAGAAAAAGAGGTAGCATGTCTAATGTGAGAAGAGGGGCAGAAAAGGAAAGGAAAAAGAGGCTATGAGACGACAGAAGAGAACAGAAACCGAAAGAATGGAGTAAAGTAAAAATTAGCTTAACACCAGGAATAACAAATGCAAAGAAGGCAAGAGAAGCAGAAACTCTCAAAAGCAACGATAGCATAAAGACAGTAAAAAAGGAAAGGTAATTAAAAGTAGGGAAGATAGAGATGATTGTGAGTAGAGGGAGAAATAGCCTTTCCCATACTTTTCAGATGAGCTCTAAGTAACTAGCAGTGTAAAGTTAAGCATTCATTCTGATTTTTGAGGATCTTTACGTAATAGCAACATACTCCAAAGATATATTATAAAAGTTATCTTGTGAAAAGCATTCCAAATTTTTTCAGTTAAGAAATGATATGCTGGTACAAAAAAGGAAACAGACTGATAAATTAGTTGCATATTACAATACCTTAAGGTGGAAAAAAAAAAATCTCTTTTGCAGATCTGAGGCAACAACTCATACTCTATAATGAGGAAATTAGAACCCCCAGACTAGTATTTAAGTAACAGGGACTCAGTGAAATAATCAAAAGTGACCTCAAAGTCCAACTTCTGGCACATCTGTCAGTGAAAAAGCACATAATTTTTCATGACGACTGAATTATATGTCATTTTGGAAAGGTAGCTCCAAAGTTACCAAAAAAGATTAGTTTCTTTTTCCAAAGGAAAAAATCGGTAGACTGCCATTTTGTAGATTTTTCAGAGAACTTCCCTTCTGATCATTTTTTTAAACCCCGATCAAATTGCTCTATCATGAAAGTGTTTATCAGTGTCACTTTACTCACTTATCTACCCATCCAACAAATATTTATTAAGTGCCTACCACGTTATCAAGCACTGTTTTGGGTATAGATAATATTGTGGTTGAAAGGACCCAGAATATGCCACTGTGTCATAAAAATTATTTTGAGCTGAAAGCATTTGAGTTCTTGAAATTCCTAAAAGCAGAGCCTCCCAAAAGAACTCAGAAAGAACCCAACTGTCAAAAATCCTCTCTCCGGGAGCAACTCATTAGCACCACATCCAAACAGACATTGTCATAAAACTATCCTAACTTCCACTTATTCTCATTAGGGTCCATCTATTTATCTTTCCAAAGTTTTTCCCCACGATGCCATAAATGCTCTGTCTTCTTCCTCTTCTAAATTCCTAAGTGCCCTTCTCCCCGCTCCTCTTCACCTATTAAGATGGTATATAAGACCCAAATTCTAGGCACCTCTGAGTCACATTTCTTTGTGAACTCCAATACATATACATACTTGATTAAAATCTGTTTTTCCTCTCACTAATCTGTATTTCGTCAGTTTACTTCAGAGGCCCTCAAACACAAAACCTAAGAAGGCAGAGAAATAGTCTTTCCTCCCTGACATGGTAAACAAGAGAATATTCCTACTGTCATGGAGCTTACATGTTCATGGAAGGTAGACAACAGATAGGTATATTTATATAATAAAATTTTAGGTAGCAGAATGCACAATAAAAAAACAATAAAGCAAGATAATGAAATTAGAGAGTAAAAGGGGGAAGGAGCTATCTCATAGAATTTAATAATTGTTCAGAGAAATAAGAACAAGACCGTTTAGAATTCTCAAGTGTGCTAAAGCAAAGCATCCATAATACAAAATATTACTATCTGGAATGCTGAAATGATTTTAGGAGAAAAAAAAAAAGTCACATTTAACTCTTTCTTCTAAGTGAAAGCTTTCGGAAACATGGACAAAATTAAACTAATTCTACCATTTTTGGGAGGGGGCTGGTTTCCATAAAGATTACTGAGAACTATATGCTTACCTAAGCTGTCAAAGTGATTTAACAATATAAAGCACTTCCTAAGTATCAGACTTCGTGCTATTATCTGAGGTAATCTACAACTATTCTAGGAGGTAGGTGCTATTAATATGCTAACTTTGTAGATGAAGAAACTGAAGTTTAGAATGGTTAGGTAATTTGCCCAGAGTTACTGTTAATAAGTGGCAAAGCCAGGATTTAAACACACCTTTCTAATCCCAAAACCTATGCTTTAACCAGTATATTACACTGTTAGGTAATTGCTTCAAAAAGTAAAGTTGGCATGATCTCATTTATATGTGGAATCTAAAAAAGTCAAATACATAGAAACAGAGATTAGAACACTGCTATCAGGGGTGAGGAGGTGGGGAATATGGGTAGATACTGGTCAAAGGATACAAAGTTGCAATTATGCAGGATGAATAAATCTACTGATCTAATATACAACGTAACTATAGTTAATAATACTGCAGTGAATACTGAAAATTTGCTAAGATAAACACACAATGAACAATAACTATATGAGGAGATGGATATGTTAATTAGCCTGACTGTAACCATTTCACTATGTATATTAATATCAAAATATCCTGTACACCCTAAATACATGCAATTTTTATTTTATAAAAAAGAAGTAAAGTTAGTATATGAGAATATTTAACCCAGTGCTTCCTGCCAACCAATGATTAAACTTCAAATCACATAAGCAACAGTGATTATGAAATGCAAGACATGACTATCGCATTATATGTACCTTATTGTCTCCTCCATAGTTAGTAACAGTTTTAAAATGAAAACCTGATTCATCAACTCTTCTATTTTTAAAACGCTTCAGACTTCCCCACTGCCCCAAGGATAAAATCCAAACTCTTCAACAGTTTTCAAGGCTCTGGACAGCATTCTTCTCTTTATATCCAACATTCTGGTTTCTTCAGTATCTTAGTAAGTTATGCTTACTTTTGTTTCCAGGCCTTTGTATATACTATTTCTTCTGCATGAAGCATTCACCTACTCTCCCTACCAGCTTTTACATAGATAACTTTTTTTTTTAGTAATATATAATGTACTATTTGTTTCAGGGGTCCAGGTTTGTGGTTCATCAGTCTTACACAATTCACAGCACTCACCATAGCACATACCCTCCCCAACATCCATCACCCAGCCACCCCATCCCTCCCACCCCCCTCCACTCCAGCAACCCTCAGTTTGTTTCCTGAGATTAAGAGTCTCTTATGGTCTGTCTCCCTCTCTGGTTTCGTCTTGTTTCATTTTTCCCTCTCTTCCCCTATGATCCTCTGTCTTGTTTCTCAAATTCCACATATCAGTGAGATCATATGATAATTGTCTTTCTCTGATTGACTTATTTCGCTTAGCATCATACCCTCTAGTTCCACCCACATCATTGTAAATGGCAAGATTTCATTTTTTGATGGCTGCATAATATTCCATTGTATGTATATGTGTGTGTATATATATATATATATATATATATATATATATATAAATATCCCACATCTTCTTTATCCATTCATCTTTTGATAGACATCTGGGCTCTTTCTATAGTTTGGCTATTGTGGACACTGCTGCTATAAACATTGGGGTGCACGTGCCTCTTCGGATCATTACATTTGTATCTTTGGGGTAAATACCCAGTAATGCAATTGCTGGGTCATAGGGTACCTCTATTTTCAACTTTTTGAGGCACCTCCATATTGTTTTCCAGAGTGGCTACACCAGCTTGCATTCCCACCAGAAGTGTAGGAGGGTTCCCCTTTCTCCGCATCCTTGCCAACATACATAGATAACTCTTAATCATCACTCAAATGAGTAAGAGTTATCAGTGTGTGTGAGGTCTCTTCTTCTGGAGAGCCAACTACTGCTAACCCCATGCCCAAATCTGGGGTTAATTCCTCTCAAGTGTGCCCCCTTAGTACCTTTAAATTTTTTTTTTTATTAAGTAAACTCTACCCCCAATGTGGACTTGAACTCACAACCCCGGGATCAAGAGTCACATGCTCTACCGACTGAGCCAAGCCAGGCACCACTTAGTACTTTTTTTTATAGCACTCTATTAGAATTGCCTATTCTATTAAAAGTGCCTGTTGTACACCAAACTGTAAGGGCAGTGACTAAACACACACACACACACACACACACACACACACACACACACGGTGGTCATTACCATAGTACAAATGCCCTGTAGCTAATATATACTTAATAAATATTTACAAAATCAGTAAGTTCCAGACTAGCAAAGTCACATCAGATACTTAGATGAAATTTCTGAAAATTATTTTCACGGCTATAGAAAAGTAAACATATCAGATTTCTACATAGGAACACTAAAAAATATTAGTAACAGCAGTAGTAATAATGATGTAGTAAGATCTGTTATACGTCAAGCACTGTGCTAAGGCTCTTACATATCAGAATTCTCTCAAGGTCCATACTCACTAATTTAGAATGGTTCTGGACTAGTGTCAAAACAACAGATATACCACAATTACAAAGTCACCTTTATAATGCTCTACAAATGATGTTAACTCATCTTGGAAATTCATACAAGAGAAAAATATATTTCCTCCTATCTTGATAGATAGGGAAAGATGAAAGAAGAATATAATTTTGTTTTAGAATTCACTTCCAAATGATATTTCAAATTTTATATGGGATCCCCTGAGTATACATAGGCTGACAATGAGATGATGTGGCTTAAAACTATGAAATGCTGATGGCAGAGAAAAGGTAAAATTTGCTGTGGTTATCCAAGTTAGATTAAATCCTTAAGCATTGTCTATAATTCGACCTCAAGAACCTTAACCATTAAAAACATTTATGTGAAAGAGGGGCGCTTCGGTGGCACAGTAGGTTAAGTGTCCGACTCTTGGTTTCGGTTCAGGTTGTGATCTCAGGGTCTTGAGATCAAGCCCTGTGTTTGGCTCTGTGCTGAGTGCAGAGTCTGCTTAAGACTTTCTTTCCCTCTCCCTCTGCCCCTCCCCCCCTCAAATAAATAAATAAATCATTAAAAAAATAATTTTAACACTTATGTGAAAGAAATAAGAATTATATAAATATATTATTACCTGCTTGCTTTTCTGTATAGGGAACTATTAAGTCAGTAATATTTAGTTTCCTAACCTAGCTGAACAACAGAATATCAGGAGCAACCACAGAGTTAGAAAGAAAGGAAAGAAATTATGTATACCTGATCTATGAGTCGCTTTATTAAGGGTAGCCCTTCTAGTGCTGAACTGTCACAGCCACTGGTCAATACTCGTTCAAATCCCAAGGTTAAGAGGGTCTCTAGAGCTGCCACTGGATCATGAACCATGTCAAAGGCTGAAATAAGTAAAACTGATTTGAATTTTGTACAGATATTCTCTAATATAGTGCTTTCCAAAATGTAGTATACACACAGTGGTGTGCTGGACTTAGCTCGTACTGGTGAGCCAAAGCCAATTGTTAAATATTCAGGAGTTTTGCAAGCATCATTTTTAATCCATCAACAGCTTGAAATCAGTCAAGGTGGGAGAATTTAAACCACAGAAATCAACAAATACTATATATTAGAGCTCTTTTTGTCTAAGAACTAGTTCACCAGCATACCACAGTCTACATACCACGGCGGTATGCAGAAACATTTTAGATGCTACCCATTTGAATAGATGTATTTATTTAAACACAGATTTGAAATGAAATGTTTCCATTTTTCACAAGTTATAAAAGTTTCTCTTTAAAAGAAATTCACTTAAGATTTTATTTAAAGAAAATTACTAAATAAATTTGCACAGGTAGCACTCAGATATGGTAAAACTGTAAATGTGATAGGCAAGTGACTCAAATTTGGAAAATTCTGTTCTAAGGCTTCAGACAAACTGGACTAACTGGAACTCAGACAAACATTACACTCACTGGTTCTAAAAAAGGCCTTGGTTCATATTCTCATTATTGACTAATATTCTATGCTATTCCATTTACCCCAAATACTTAAGGCTCAGAGTATAAGGACAGTTGTTTACAATAGACTATCTAGACTTACAATTCCATTCTATTTTCTAAGAGACTTTTCTCCTCCTCAGAGAAGAAAGTGGCACTAGGAACCTCAAAAAGAAAAACTACTTCTGCTTTGGTTCTCAGCACTGCTACATAATTTGGAAGTTCTAATCTATGGTGGATTAGGTGCTTGACCCCTTTACTTTACCCGTTAGTGTAGGCAGACAGCTAAATGTACCACAGAGGCTTTTCCTTTTTTGTAGCAGTGCCTCACCAGTGATTAAACTATCACTATCTCATTAAATACACGAGTGAAAAAAAATGCAGAACCCAGGACAACGCAAAATTTTGAAAACATGAAAATATTTTTGTTAAATGTATTGAAGGAAAAGAAATTTGAAGCGATTTTCTTAAAGAACAAAGAAAAATACATTCTACATGACATCTTTATTTTTTAAATTATTTTGCATGCCAAACTTTACTTTTATTCTTTTTTTAATTATGTTATGTTAGTGTTATATGCAAACAATGAATCATGGAACACTACATCAAAAACTAATGATGTACTGTATGGTGACTAACAAACCTTATCTATTTTTCAGATAAATGTTTACTAATTTAAATTACTTTTCATTATTTAAAAATTGCTTTTTGGCCACTCTCAAGGTGCTGAATTTTAAACACTCTAACATCTTTTAGTTATTGCTATGTTTATGAGAAGCATTGCTAAACAGCAAGTCAAGAGAACAGTTTTCTGGTGGTATTATTCATTTCAAAAAGAAACAAGAATAACAAATGTTTTATCTCTATCTTCTATAAATAGATGCAAATGCCAATGCCCACTAATCTTTGAATGCTTATTCAAAAGGCCAGAAAAACATTCAACAATTTCTCAAGCATATATCATTAAGTTAAAAAAAATGACTTAAGACTTCTTTCTTTTCATGTGTAAGAGAGTGCCCTCTTCGGGCAAAACTGACACTTGTTCCTACATTTTACCAACCAAGGTTTGACAAAAGTGTACAGAAATTAGAACTACCTGATTTATAGGTAAGAGGTATTTTTTACATGAAATTATCAGATACTTTTTAGAAATCATTCTGATGTAGACAATCAATAATATAGTTTTGTGCACAACAGTGAACATCTCTTCATTGACTATCTCCATCTATTCCTTCTTTCCTCCTTCCAAATAGTATCTGATTCTTATGTAGATACCCACCCCTCTCTCTGCCCAAGAATCTGAGAAAGCTGGCTGCACCACTAGCTCCTAGAATGGTCTTGTCTGGCTTAAGCCAGGCAGTACATTTCATTTCACTGGCCACAGTGGTTTTTGGTGGTTAATATGGTCTAAGGCCATCTAATAAAAATGAATCTCAGGGGGCACCTGGCGGGTTCCATCAGAAGAGCATGTGACTCTTGATCTTGGAGTTGTGAGTTCAAGCCCCACACTGGGTGTAGAGATTACTTAAACATAAAAAATCTTAAAAAAAAAAAAGAATCTCAAAATTCTTGCTTGGACAAGTGCATACACGTAGGCAATTCCTAATCTCTCCCTCTATTATATCCCACCACCACCACCACCACTTACTTTTAACAAATTTTCATAACAAAGCTTCAAATTGTGCATCTCTAAATTTACAACAGTTAGTATAAAGAAAACAAGGTCAGTATAAAGAAAACAGCTGGTGACACTGTAACACTCTAGTATTGTGTTCCATAAAAAGATTATGGCATTTGGTGAAATAAGAAAACTGACACCGTTCAATAGAACTTCTAAAATGGAAATGACTCACCTCGGTGGAAAGTGACTGGTAGAGGACGGCATATAGCTATAAAAAGAAAGCCAAATAACAATATAAATGAAGAGATCATCACTGATTACTATACACAGAATTTTCCATGTTAGATGGGATTTTTCTATACTTTCCTCTCCTAAGAAGTAAAGACAGTGAACTAAAATAATAAAATCATAGCCTTCCAAATTCAGAATTCCTATGTTTCCATTAATCTCTGATTTTCATACCAAAAAAATGGTCGTCCACTCCTTAGCTAGACCAAATAAAAATTATGTGATCTGATTACTATAAACGCAGCATTATATCTACTACTTTAATCCCTCTGAGTATCTTCAAGAAATACTTTGGCCTAGTAATATAAGTAGTATGCTTCTGTCCTCTCCACGCCTCCCCATCCTCACCAACTACAATAGCTTTTGAAGTTTTTTCAAATCCAGGTAAACCTCCCTTAAACCTTCCGGGAACAGTAACAGAACTTGATCTACAGCAACTTCAACTTAGGAGTCAATAGGACTAGAACACTTATACCCTCTGCCCCAAACATCTAGAGAACTACTGCTTAATATAGGTTAGTTTAAGTGCCTGCAGGTGTGACTGAAAAGCAATCAGAAAAACTTGCATTTTTCTTTTGTTTTTTAAAATTTGAGGTGACACACAATGTTATGTTAGTTTCAATATCAGGAGTATTAAATGCAATCATCATTAGAGGCTTTTTGGTCTCAGATACAAATTCTTACCCACAAGGGACATGCACAACTCTTTGTCAATGTTTCCATCTTCAGTCAATGCTCCAAATACCAAACCATCAGCACCATAAAGCTTGGCAAGACGAATGTCAGCCTTCATCACCTCAACTTCACGATCTGAATATAAAAAGTCACCTCCACGTGGACGAATCATCACAAAAACTGGAATCTGGACACATTGCTTCACTACTTGAAGGACACCTAAAAGAATAGAGAACAGACTAATTAAAATTCAAATGTGATGGGCACCTGGGTGGCTTAGTCAGTTAAGTGTCTGCCTTCAGCTCAGGTCATGAACTCAGGGTCCTGGGCTCCAGCCCTGTATCAGGCTCCCTGCTTAGCAGGGAGCACGCTTTTCCTCTCCCTCTGCAGCTCCCCCAGCTTGTGCTCTCTCTCTCTCACATACTCTCCCTCTCAAATAAATAAATAAAATCTTTTAAAAAAATAAAATTCAAATGTGAACTAACAGCTCAAGGAAGTCAATAAAATTTACTGGCCTTTTACATTTGCTCTTGTGTATTACTTCTACAAGAAAAGGAAGCATTGACTGAGGAAACCAGAGAAATCTGGTTCTAAAGGGAATGACAACATTAATTAAAAAATGTGCATATAGGGGTGCCTGGGTGGCTCAGTTGTTAAGCGTCTGCCTTCAGCTCAGGTCATGATCCCAGGGTCCTGGGATCGAGCCCTGCATCAGGCTCCATGCTTGGCAGGAAGCCTGCTTCTCCCTCTTCCACTCCCCCTGCTTGTGTTCCCTCTCTTGCTGTGTCTCTATCAAATAAATAAATAAAATCTTTAAAAAAAATGTGCATATAATGGAAGTTAAGTAATAAGAGAATCATGGGTAAAAAAGAGCAATTTAGTAAAGAGAAGGCATTTACTGCATTTTTAAAAGCACTTGTCGTGTACTGCATGGAGCACTGGGTGTTATACGAAAACAATGAATCATGGATCACCACATCAAAAACTAATGATGTATTGTATGGTGACTAACGTAACATAATAAAATTAAAAAAAATAAAAAATAATAAAATGCAAAAAAAGAAAGCACTTGTCAATTGACTAAAGAAAATCCTTTTGCTGGTATATGACGTTTGAAAGTATAATAACTAACAGGCTCAATATTCTGCCACTGTATTCCATAAGATCTGATTTTTCCTTTCTGATTGATTATAGCTCTATTTAGAACTTACTATAGAGATGTTTACATAGTTCTAAAGTTTATGACCCTTTAATGAACAAAGAAACTTATCAAAACCTTTTTTGAAAGAGTTATATAAAAAAGAGCAAAGTTCTACTTGTTTGTGATTTTATGTAGAGATCTATAAATAAAAATACCTAAATGGCACAATTCATCGCTAGCTCAGAAACCCTCAATAGTAAAGATCTTCCATGACTTACACTGTAATTACATCTCAATAAACCCATCTTAAGCTGAAAAAATCCTAAGTCAAAATGCCTTTAATACACCTAACCTACTGAACATTACAGCTTAGCCTAGCCTACCATAAATATGCTCAGAACATTTACATTAGTCTACAGTTGGGCAAAATCATCTAATGGAAAGCCTATTTTATAACACAGTATTGATTATCTCATGTAATTTATTGAATACAGTACTGAAAGTGAAAACAGAATGGTTATATGGGTACAGAATGGTTGCAAGTTTATCAGTTGTTTACTCCTGTGATCACATGGCTAACTGGGAGCTGTGGCTGCCCAGCATCATGAGAGTATCATACTACAAATGGCTAGCCCAGGAAAAGATCAGAATTCAAAATTCAAAGTACAACTTCTACTGAATGCATATTACTTTAGCACCATCATAAACTCAAAAAATCATAAGCCAAATCATCATGTATCAGGAACCATCTGTATAAGGTCTGTGAGAAGCACAATGGATTTATTTCTTTTTCCTTGCTAAAAGAACCCCAATTTTCTATGGGATAGCAATATGCCCAATACCAAGCAATGAATCATGATTGCTGTTACAAAAAACAGATTGCACTCAAATTTAGCTATGTTCTAGAGATTTCACAGAATGGCCAGGGAATGCCTTCCTTTAGTGAGAAGATTCCAAAGAGCTATTGCATATATAAATCCTTTATACTAAATAATGCTATCATCAACCTTAGAATAACATGGAAGAGTCAAAAATTCATACAGAGACTTCTGCTTTTGACCAAGACAAGAGTAACAGGGACGAGATTTGCCCTCCCACCAATAATAACCAAAAAACACAGATGAATATGAAAAATATATGAAACAATGGTTTGCAAGAGATTGTGTGTCAAGCAACAAAAAACAATGATGCCTGAAAGAAGGGAAACAAATGAAGTCAGCTCTATAACTGACCGAAATTACTACCTTGAGGGTTTTCTAGGCTGCGGCAAAGAAAGGGGGAACCGAGGTAGAGGCCAGAGAATTCTGAGTTGAAGAGACAAAGCTGAGAGTCCAGGGAGATCAAGTGACTAGAGTTCCTAGGAAAGAGCACCAGGGAGGAGAGAAAGAGAATTTTGGAGATTTGCAGATAATCTCCCTCCAATATTCAGCTCAGTACTAATGAATGCATATATGCAAGGAAACCATACAAAGCCAGAGAAAAATCCACTGAAAAGAATTAGAAAGAAACAATGTCTTTCATTCACACCTGTCAGGCCAAAAATAATGCCTATTCCCAACAGGCAGATAGGAAAATTTGAAGATTCATGGGGCAGTGGGTAGAGTACACAGAAGGGTCTTGCTTCAGTAATAGGAATAATTAACTCCAGACTGACCACTGTTCCAGGCCTGCTTAACAAATTTTAAAGGCAATAACCAAAAGAAACAAACTGTTTCCAAATAACCCAACTGCTTGAGAATGTTTATAGGAATACAAACATATCTAGGGCCCAATAAAGCAAAATTCATGTCTGGCAACCAGTAAGAAATTATCAGGCAGGAAAATAAGATGCATCATGAGGTGATAAATCAATCAAATGAAACCAACCTAGAACTGATATAGATGTTAGAATTAGCAGCCAAGTCATTAAAACAGCTATTATAACTTTATTCCAAATCTTCAAAATAGTTCAGAAACAATATATTAGATATAACAGACTCAAATTAAACTCCTAAAGATGAAAAGTACAATGTGTGAGATGAAAAATATACTAGGTGGGTTTAACAACAGATTAGACATTGCAGAGAAAAGATTAGTAAACTTGAAAACAAACCAATAGAATCTATGCAAAATGAAACACAGAGAAAAAGGAGATTAATATAAAAAGAGGGGCGCCTGGGTGGCTCAGCTGGTTAAGTGTCCAACTCTTGATCTCAGCTCAGGTCTCCATCTCACAGTCCTGAGTTTAAGCCCCAAGTTGGGCTCCACACTGGGCATGGAGGCTACTTAAAAAAAAAAAAAGAGTAGTTCATTAGTGAGCTCTGGGACAACTTCAAGCAGCCTAAAACAAGTATAACTGATGTCTCTGAAGGAGGGGGTGGAGTACACTGAATGATGAAAATTTTCCAAATGTGATGAAACTATAAACGCACAGGTCCAAGAAACATGAAGAAAACTATAATCAGGTATATTGTTATCACATTGCTCAAAGCCAGGAGTAAAGAAAAGAATTTTAAAGCAACTACAAAAAAGAGACATTACATAGAAAAAACAAAAAAAACAAAGGTAGGGATGATATTTCATATGAGAAATAACACCAGCAAGAAGACAGTGGAGAAACATCTTTAAGGTATTGAAAGAAGAAAAAAAACCTATCAACCTAGAATTCCACACCCAGCAAAAATAGCTTTCAAAAAATGGAGAAAGATGTTTTGAGACATACAAAAGCTAAAATAATTCATCCCCAGCATACTTGTATTACAAGAAAAATGTTAAAAGAACTACTTCAGACAGAAGGAAAATGAAATCAGATGGAAATACGGACCTAGACAAGGGGATGAAGAACATCAGAAATAGTAACTATACATAGGTAAATACATGATTGTTTTCTTATTATTTTAATCTCTTTAAGAGATAACAGATTCTTCTTTTTTGGAAGATTTATTTATTTGAGAGAGAGAGAGTGTGAGAGAGCACTACTGGGGGGGAGGGGCAGAGGGAGAGGGAAAGAACCTCAAGCCGACTCCCCTCTAAGTGAGGAGCCCAACACGGGGCTCAATCTCACGACCTTAAGATCATGACCTGAGCCAAAATCAAGAGTCGGGATGCTCAACCAACTGAGCCACCCGGGTGTCCCTAATTGACTCTTTAAACAAAAATAATACTGGGTGTTATATGCAAATAATGAATCCTGGAACACTACACCAAAAACTAATGAAGTACTGTATGGTGACTAACATAATAAAGACTAATGTAGTGTGGAGTGTATGTATTTTTAACACATACAGAAGTAAAATGTATGACAACAGCACAAAGACCAGGATGGGAGAAATGAAGACTAAAGTCAATATGCTGAAGATGCCAGGATGGAAAGATAAAACCCTGACTCTTGATACTACTGCAGAGCAACTGAACCAACGTTAACAGTAACTATCTATCTCTCAACTTATTGATGTATAAGGATCTCATCTTTGATAGACAGGTTTAATTACAACCATAAGCACCTCTAACTAATTCAATATCCACAGCATTGTTAATATATCAGTAACATTAGTAAAGGATCTCAGTGAAACATATTTTCCATTGTCTCCAGGCTCTATAAACTCCAACCAGAAAATAGGGAAAACACTTAACCCATGCTGGGTGTGGTTCCTCCTTCCAATAAGCCAGAACATAATTCAATCCGGCCAGCACCTATGTGAAAAAAAAAAAAGCATTGCTCAATACAATAAACTTTTAAAAATTAAGAAAAATTTTAAGAAGCATTTCTCAAAAATTATCATCCAAAATAAACATTTATGAAACAGTAAACAACATTTTTTTCAAACACAGAGCAAAGAGTCTTAGAAACTGAGAGATTATAAAACTAGAGTAAAACTCTATTGTTAATCCCAACTATATTCTGCAACCCACATTGTGTTACTGATAGTCAAATTTAAGAGTTAATTCAAGTTAAGCTAGGTCTCTTGAAATTTTGTATTACAGGGTTGCCTCTCCATGTACAAGGATGTGACTCAGAATAAATATGGTCTGAGTTGACCATAGTGGAACACTGACTCTTCATTGATAACAATCTTTTCCAAGACTTATTATTATTCTAAGATTTACAAAACTACAAGGTAATTTTAAGTAGCTTAAATCAAGGTAATTTCAAGAATAAGAGAATGCTGAAAGCAGATTAACTATCAGACTATAGGGTCATGTCAAAAGAGTCTCAGGATCCAGGCTGAAGAGGCTAGTACCAGCCAAACATGGGACACTTTGAGAATCAGTAAGAAGAAAAACTATAGTGGAGTAAAACACATCAAATATGTCTAAATCTAGATTCATAATGATAAAACAATTCACTGGGGGATAGAGAATAAACTCATTATCCTAAAATCAGTAAACAGAGGAAAAGGAGCAAGCATTTATCCTGCCTCTTATAGTAACTGAACCTCAATATAAACAAACAGTTGATGAGGGAAAGTTCTTTATAGAAGAAGCATACTGATAGTAAGTGAAAAGTAAATGTTCAATGTAATATAGTATGATATTTCAAACCCTACTAAAAGATGCACTGCTAAAATAATTAGGTAAAAAGATGAAAGAAAAGCTTATAAAGGATGGATCAGGCTGACAATATGACCTATTAATTAAAAATGTTTGTGTTTGTTTTTAAAAAAAATAAAAATCTGTATTGATATATAATTCACATACCATACAATTCACCCATTTAAAGTGTATAATTCAATATTTTTTAGTATACTTAGAGTTTTGCAGCCATCACCACAATTAATTTTAGAACATTTTCCTCACCCCAAAAAGAAACCTTATACCCTTTAGCAGTCATCTCCCGTTCTCCCATGCCCTTCAACTCTAGGCAACCACTAATCTACTTTCTGTCTCTAAAATTTGCCTAATGTGGACATTTTATATAGGTGGAATCATATAGCATGTGGTATTTTGTGACTGTTTTCTTCCACTTAGAATAAATTTCAAGATTCATCTATGTTGTAACATGTATCAGCACTTCACTCTTTTTTATTGCCAAATTAAGAACCGTTTTTACATTTTCAGAGGGTCATTTTAAAAATACAAAGACTATTCCATGAAGACCAAATGTTGCCAGTAAAACTGAAAATATATACCACGTGGCTCTTTTTTTTTTTAAAGATTTATTTATTTATTTATTTAAGAGAGCGCAAGCACGCATGCATGAGAGCAGGGGATGGAGCAGAGGGACAGGGAGAAAATCTCAAGCAGACTCCTTGATCCCCCCACCTTGAGATCATGACCTGAGCTGAAATCAAGAGCCAGATGCTTAACCAACTGAGCCACCCAGGCACCCCTATTATATGTTGCTCTTTATAAAAAGTGTCCTGACTCCCTGATATCGTGGAAATATTGGCCACATGCTGAAACTAGTAGACACTGAGTGATGGGTACGTGGGGATTCATTATACTATTCTACTTTTATGTATGTTTGAAATTTCCCATAATAAAAAGTTTTTAAAAATTTCTGATCCTGAGATGATGGGAATTTCTATGCTTCCCCATTAAAGCAGGTTCAGAATGCAAAACAAACCTTGAGGTAAAAATAGATAATGCTAAAAAAAAAAAAAAAAAGATAATGGGGGTACCTGGTTGGCTCAGTCGGTTAAGTGTCTGCCTTCAGCTCAGGTCATGATTTCAGAGTCCTAGGATAGAGCCCCATGTCTGGTTCCCTGCTCAGCAGGGAGCCTGCTTCTCCCTCTACCTCTGCCCCTCCACCCACTTGTGCTCTCTTTTGCTCTCTCTCAAATAAAATCTTTTTTAAAAGAAACATAATTATAAAAGTCTTGATGATGAAAATGGCAGCAAAACTCTTAAATCATCTTTAAGTCAACAGTTTAAAAAAATGAAGTCTTTGCTAAGTTCAATTTAAAAAAAAATGAAGTTGGTAGGTAAGCACTATTGTGGACACTTGACTCAAAATGTGATCTATTGGAGGAGTAAGATTAGAAGATGATAAAGATGATAATTTTCCAGTACGTTTTCCAGTTGGTTGGCTGTCTTCAAAAAGATTACTAGGATCCTTACTAGGATCACAAGGGCTCCCAAGATCAGTTCATAGGATTCCTTTTCAGACTTTTTTTTTAGAGAGAGAGAGAGAGAAGGGCGGAGGGAGGGGCAGAGGGAGAGGGAGAGAGAATCCCAAGCAGGCTCCACACCCAGCACTGAGTCCAACCTGGGGCTCAGTTTTACAACCCTGAGATCATGACCTGAGCTGAAATCAAGAGTTGGATGCTTAACCAACTGAGCCACCCAGGAACCCTCATTTTCAGACTTTTAGAAGGACTGCCAACTGTTATTCATTCTCTTTTGTCTTACCTCCTCGTTCTGCATTTACAGCTGACTCTACTGAATCAACACACACTTCCATGAGAAATCCATTTGTCGTTCCTAAAATACATGGAAAACAGTGCAATTTCATGATGATACTATCCATCCAGACCAATCTACCACCACTTTATTTTGCTGCCCAAAACCAATGTCCAATAATAGGCAAGTAGGTAAATATACCATGAATGCAATAAAATACCATACTGATTATTAAATTGATGTCTTTGAACTGTGAAATAAGTATACAGACATATGTATAAGAAATTATACTGAAGAAAATATACACTGAATGCCAAATTAATCTTCCTAAAACACAGCCCTCATTATAAAATTCTAAGTCAGATTTTTTTCAATATTTCTCAATGTTTTCAGAATATGTTTAAATGTCTTTATAAAGATCATATGTTTAAGAACAAGGATGGGCTTCAAATCTTGGCCCCACTACTTATTTGTGTGATCCTAGACAAGTTACTTAGCCTTAGTTTTCTATAAAACAGAGTAGGCTTTAGTACCTACCTCAGAGTAGTGAGGACTAAATAATTCATGTAAAGTGAAGGGTACCCACCATATGTACAAAAAGTTATCATTAATAAACTACATATTATTTCTTCTATACATCTCCAGTTCCACTCAGTTCTCATCTCTGTTCTTGCTTATGCCATCCTCCTCAGCCCACAAAGTCCTGCCAGCTCCATCTTTGAACGGTAAAATCTTCCAAGGCTAACATTAAATCACATTTCCATATCTCTTCTCTCCCAAAGTAGGATCTCCCTCTTTGGAACTCATGTAACTCTTCATAAATTATATGTTCCTCTTTAAAACACTAATTGATATCTTTTAAAAATACTAATTACTTTCTACCTCTTATTATTATGTATGTAGATAGATAGATGTCTGTTCACTTTTACTTGACCTGAAGTTCCTAAGTAAGGTCTTTATGTGAGAAACCTTTATCATCACCCACAGCAAGCACAGTGTCTACCTTGGTACACAACAGTCATGCAAAGACTTTCTAAAGGCTGAATAATTACAAGTTCATAAATTTCATTCATGTATTTACACTAAAAGTGTGATGAAAATAAGTTTTGAGTTTTTCTGTAAGTTAAGCACACAAGGTGGTTGTTTTTTTTTTTTTTTTTACAATTAATAAGAGTATTAAATGTATACTTCATGCAATACTTGAAAGAATCACCACGTGCTGATAATGCTGACTACTGGGTGGTAAGATTTGGAATTACTTTTACTTTCCTCTTTTTACCTTTTTTTTTTTTTTTTTTTTTTAGTATTCTTCACTTAAAAAAGCCCAGCGTGGAGCCCAGTGTGGAGCCCAGTGTGGAGCCCAACCGCCAGGCTGAAATTAAGACCTGAGCTGAGATCAAGAGTCCAATGCTTAAGGGACTAAGCCTCCTTGTGGCTCCTCCCCTTTTTACTTTTCTATGTTGCTTTTTTCCTACCCAATATTGTTTTTATCATTTTTTAAAAGGCTATTTTTAATTTGAAAAACAAACATCATCTGCTTACATCAAATTGCAACTGCCTCACTTATTTAAAAGAAGACTGTCAGTCTCAAACTGTTTAAGAGTTAAGTGCCACTCTGTGTTCTTAACCAACAGCACTGCATTCATTCCAAGAGTTTCCGGAGAGCCACCCACACCAGCTGTCACATCAGTCTAACTGGACAGTGCTGCTGAGGTACCATTTGCCTCACAGGAGAAAGGACCTTGGCCGGGAGAGCGTGGAGGTGCACACAGAAGGCTATGTGACAGAAGGCAGACTAAGATAGTTGTCCAGGAAGCGAAGTTATTTGTAGGAATCAAAGACATTTGTTTGGAGCAGTAGTTCTCAAAGTGTGGTAGCCCAGTTAGCTCCGGGGGCCTTTAAGACCCTCTCAGAGTCTGTGCAGTGAAAAGTATTTTCATAGTAATACTAAGACTTTATTTGCCTTGTTCACTCTCTTTCTCTCACAAGTGGAGTGAATTTTCAAGCGGCTCCCTGACAGGTCAGACTGAATGCAGAAGCAGATCTAACAGTTCCATTAATCCAGATCTTAAAGAGATTTGCAAAAAATATAAAACACTGGCATTCTATTTGTTTGTTTAGGTAGACAGTTACTTTTCAAACACACACAAATGTTATTTGTGCTATCATGTAATGGGTTTCTAATTAATATTTTAAAATTTGTTTTAACTTCGAATACCGTCAACACCAATAGACTTAGCTTATGTAAGTAAAAGGTCTCTGAGGTTCTCAATAACTTTTAGGAGGGAAAAGGAGTCCTGAGATCAGAAAGCTTGAGAACCTCCGGTCGGGAGGAACCAAGAGTTCACGGGGTTGGGGGCGGGGGGAGGGAGTCGGCCAAATTCCCTAGCACCTGCCACGCCTGGCGCAGCAGCAAGCACTCGGCACGGGGCGGCCACAAGCGCTGGCACCGGCCGCTGTGCAGCTTTGGGGACAGTCCTCACCCCCGCCGCAGCAGCTAAAGGTTACCAAGCAGTCACCAGGGGTAGGCACTGAGCTCAGCGCTGGACATCTAACTGTCCCAGCGATGCCACGGGGTGGGGACTGGTAGCCTCGCGTGGCGAGGGGAACTTGAGGCTGGAAGAAGTTAACCAACTTGAACACGCTCGCCGCACACTAGACGTGATGGCGCCGGGATTCGAACCCACACATCTGGTTCCAGAGCCCGGTCACTCTCGCTACAAGCCCCTTCTCAGGCCCTCAGCTTCCACACGTTTAAAGCCAGAATGACAGAACGTGCCGTGCGGGCAGCTGTGAGGACGTGGGCAAAGTACTCTGACAGAAATCGCGACACCGCTGGCCAGAACTCCCGCAGGCCCGCCCGGGACAGTCAAGTCGGACGACCGCCCCCTCCCCGCCCCCTTCCGCACCGGCTTTCCCGGACGGTATGCGCGCCCGTTTCCGCTCCGAGGAGGGCCCCTGCCTCTTCATGTTCGACGCGTTCCTCCCTCGTGCGTCTTCGGTTTCCTCGGAGTCTGGCGCGCGCGACCAAGGAAGCGCGCCTCAGGGCTGCGCGCACCCCTGCGCGTCCCCGACACCAAGACCCAGCAGGCCCCGCGAAAGCCGAGTCGTTGGCGCAGTCGCAGTCGCAGTCACCACTAGCCCTTGCCTTCTGAGAAGGAGGGGCTCACGCTGCATGACCCGGAAGTGTTTCTCTGTTCGGTGGGGGAGAAAGGAGACCACAGAGAGCTGGGGTGTAGAGGTGGTTTCTTTGTACTGTCTTCAGTATGCAGCGATTACTCTTTCCGCCCCTGAAGACCTTGGTGGGGAGCCCGTGTCTCCGACTCCTGGTTCCTAGGGCCGCGCCTAGAACACAGGTACTGCACCGCAGAGGACTCGGTCGCGGAATCGGACAGGGGTCGAAAGAGTCAGGAGAAAGATAATAGGTAACCCCACATCAACATTGCCGTAGTTCCTTGGAATTCACAACACATTTCTTTGTGCCCAGAGCCCCTGAGGTAGGATCCGGACCTGCCACTTACTGGCTGAATGATACTAGCCAAGTTCAGTAACCTTTCTGTGCCTTATTTCTTCATCTGTAAAATGGGAATAGCAATACCTACTTCATAAAGTTGTGGTGAGGATGAATTAATTTCATATACAGCAAGCGTTTAGTACATAGTAAAAGCTCAGTAATTTTTACCTATATATTTGATTTTTGCTAAAAAGTCCCCAGGTAGTCAGGTAAGGAACTATAACTCCATTCTACAGAGAAGGAATTTGAGGCTTAATTTGTTTAAAGTTAGGAAACAGAACACGAATCTTTAGACTCAGGGACAGAGTCAGAGGAGGACGCGCATTCGGTCAACAAGTAATTATTGAGTGATTATTATGTGTTGGGAACTGGGAAGCAAAAGATAAATACCAAAAGGCTCCTGCCCTGGAGGAAAGCACAGTTAATTCATTTGTCATTCGTTTGTCAAATCTTTATTAAGGTCTTGTTATGTAAGGGAACTGTGTTAGAAACAAAAGCAGCAGGAGAGAAAGAGCCAGACTGACCAGACACCGCAGTCTGGCAACTCATAGCTTAGTGGGAGATGGAGACAAATGAACCTGAAGTACATTATCATGTGTTAAGGGCTGGGATAGGGAAGGTACAGTACGCTGTGGGAATGACCTGTTGCAGACCCAGGAGAATCTAGGAACATTTCCCAGAGGAGGTGACATCTGAACTGAGATCTATAGTAGATATTCTCGATCAGGGAAGAAGGAGCATTCCAGTCAGTGAGAAAGAAAATAATCCATATCTGGGTGTAGAGTTAAGTCTGGGGGAAGTATGCAGAGACCAGAAGGTTCATGTAGTGTGGGGATGGACTGGAGTGAGGCAAAACTAGAGGCAGGAAAACCAGTTGTGGGATGGATGCAGTAATCCAGATAGGAGATGATGATTTACTAGGGCAAAAGCCGTGGAGATGTGGCCATACAGGGTACTCCACTCTAGACAGTGGGATTGTGTGTGAGAGCAGTGGATTGAGGCCTTTCCCTCAGTCTCCAGTTGTAATTTGTCTGTCTTGTTGATCCTTAGTGTGGTTGCAGCTGTGGGATCAGGCGCCCCTTGAGGCCGGGGCAATACAGCACCATCTCTGAAGTATCTTTGCAGTCTGGAAGGGGTACAGTGTCCCTTCCCGCAAAAGCTGCTGAGCGGGTGGTGGGCCGATGGCTCCTGGTCTGCAGTGGAACAGTGGCTGGAGCAGTTATTCTTGGTGGAGTGACTAGGTGAGTAATTCGCTTGTAGGGAGTCAGCTCTTTGGGTCATCAGTAGAAGCACAGGATGACCAAGGGGGAAGAGACCTTAGGAATCATCTAGTCTCGCTCCCTCATTTTATATGTGTAGAAACTGAGGCCTAAAGAGGGACACGCCTGAGGGCTTGCCTGCTGTAGAACAGTTTAGAGTTTTATTATTGGGAGCCCTTCATAAAGTCTGGTTTAGGTCTTGCCTGTTTGCTGTGCATTATCTGTATATATTTTCCCTCTACAAACAGTTTTCAAATTTGTCTCAAAATTTTTTGTACAGTTTGTTTGAATTAAATCTTCATAAATAGATCATAATTGGTTTGTATGCCTCTTAGGTCCCCTTAAATCTATAAAGAGATTTTATAGATTTAGATTCTTCTCCCGCCCTCCCCATTCCATGTAGTTTTTTTGCTATTAAAGAAATGTAACTGATTGGTCCTATGGAGTTTCCCGGTCTGGATTTTGCTAACTGCATACTTGTCGTGGTGTTGAACATGTCCCATTATCCCCAATATTTCCTGTAAACCAGTTTTTGCTTGATAAGATTAAGGTTGGGAGCGGGGGATAAAATACTTCACATGTGATTACAACATTCATAAATATCTGGTGTCCATTAGAGATGCCAACAGCCATTGATGATCATTGCCTAGATCCATGATTTCATTACATTTGCAAAATTGTAATATTTTATTAGCTCAACTCTAAAGAAAAACTTGCCCTCATCAACAATTTGGTTATCATAAGGTACAGTTTGTATAAGAAAGGCAGGATAAGTACTTGAAGCTTTCTCTTTATTTACCAGTTTTGAAAATAATAAGTTGGTTCCCAAGCATCCTCCAAAGGTGATCAATAAAGGGTTTGGGTTTTTAAGTATTGTAAGCTCATAGGTTTAAATGTATTTGATGTTTCAGTCCATTGCACTGATGATTTGCTCAAATTGTTTCATCTTTAGTCAATGGGAGCCTCTTCAGATTGCCTCCTGGGTCTTTTTGACAGGATCCTAGTAACCTAGTAATTAAATTCTTTGCTTTCTGGTTAAGATGTTCCAGGTTCATCTTCATTTCCTGCCTCTGACCTAAAATCAGCCTTTCACTTTAGAAACCCTCACTCCTTTTGGTGAAAATACCTTCTGGTATTAATACAATATATGTTCCTCAGATTCTCTCCACATTCCCTGTGCTCTTATTTAAAATACCATATGTTATATAGACTGTTATGGGAAACTGCAACAAATTTAAGTTTTATTAGCTTTAAATTCACTCAAGAATCTAAACTGTTTTATATCTGTAACAAATCTCTTTTCCCTCTGTAAATAATGTCACTTATTCATTGAGGGCATGTTTCTTTGCTCTAAGGGTTGATTTTACCTGTTAAGGAATGCTAGTGAAAGAAAGAAGTTAAGAGAGCTGAATGAAAGGATCAAGAGAACAAGGAATAAAGAAATTTGTACCTGATGGCAGCTGTTTCTGGTGAAATTTTAAGCAGTAAGAAGAAAGCAAGGTGTCAAAAAAGGATACACTGAAATGAAGTGTTTACTTTTAGAGGGGTTAAGTTCAGATCCATTTGTTTCTGTAAACCATTTACGAGAAATCCAGCATTGTGTGTGCATGTGTGTGTGCGCACGTACGTACACACACACACTTTTTACCTATCTTAAGGTTGACAGAGTCTGGTCTCTCAATGGTAGACTGGCATTTGATAAAGGAGATGAAACCACCTACCAGTCAAGAGGAATGGAAGACAGAATTCCAAAAATATCAGCAATTTCCGGAATTTAAAATGTAAGTATGGGGGCGCCTGGGTGGCTCAGTCGGTTATGCATATGCCTTCGGCTCAAGTCATGATCCTGGGGTCCTGGGATTGAGCCCCGTGTCAGGTCCCCTGCTCAGCAGGGCAGTCTGCTTCTCCCTCTCCCCACTCATGCTCTCTCTCTTTCTCGCTCACTCTCTCAAGTAAAATCTTTTTTAAAAAAGTAAGTATAATAGAAAATCAGGTAAAACTCCCACTAGGCCCTTTTAATCTTTTGCTTAAACATTTCAGAATGGCTAGATTCCATTATTGTTCAATATTTGCTTCAGTTATGTTTAGTGAGCTCCCTACTCTAAACCTCCAGTTCCAGAGTGATCCTGAGGTCACTGATGAGGAAGAAGGCAGACCTTTCATTTCAAGTTTCAAAACTGAGAATGCTCTTGCATTCTGTCTGGAAATAAAAATCAAGATGTTTCTTCTTTCTTTTTTGACTTCCCTTTTCACCCAGCTTGAATCATGATATGACACTGGCCGAATTCAAGTTCATTTGGTACATGGAGTACTCACACCGAATGTGGGGTCGCCTTGTGGGCCTTGCATACATCCTGCCTGCTGCCTACTTTTGGAGAAAGGGCTGGCTCAGCCGTGGCATGAAAGGACGTGTTCTTGCCCTGTGTGGGTTAGTCTGCTTCCAGGTAAGATTTATTCAAGTTTGGGAAACCAGAGATGCTTCCAGGAGCTTCCTCGTTGGGATTGTTTGTAAAGAAGGAATCTGAGTCTATATAACAGAGTGGGAAAGAGGATGAATTTTAGTGTTATAGGCCTGCCCCAACCCTGCCACTTAGTAGGGCCAGTTGTCTACCTTCTGTAGGCCCCTTTCCTTACCCGTAAATAGGGATAATAAGAGTGCCTACTGTTTAGGTTGTGTGACTTAAATGAGAGAGATCATGCATATAAAGTACTTAGTTTAGTGCCTGGAATTAGTAAGCGCTCAGTAAATACATTTTTGTGTCACAAGAGGTTCTTTCCTCTCATGGCTTTCTTCCTGGGTTCTTGTCTCCTCCCCTTTTCTGACTTGTGTGCTAGATGCGGAATGGGATCCCTCTGTTCTAGCTAAAGAAGCGAATTTGAAGACTCCCACAGTTAAGGGGTTCGCTGAGACTGAGAGCCAAGAAAAGGAATATGAGAGAAGGTACATAGGAGTATTTGGTCACAATTATAGGCCCTCAAAAAGAGTCATAGAGCATCAAAGAAACATCACAGTTTGATCAGGAATAAGCTAATTGGTTAATTAGACTCAGAAGTAGTAAGAATAAGAACCCATTAGAAGGAATTGAAGAGGGAGATGGAGGAGACAAAATAGAGGCAACAGAAACAGATAAAGAGACATTAATAAAAGTCTAATAACAACTAGGGGAGGGTTGGTGAAACAAAGTGAGAGTTTATTTTGGAATGAAAAAATAAAAAACACCCCGAAGACAGACTCCCAGGAAGGCAGCAATTTGAAGATGGCAGATAGGATTATGGGAAGAAGAAAGCAGGGCTGGCAAATCACACTGTATACTCCTTTGTCTTCCAGTGTCCTGTGCAGATGAAATCAAGATAAGTAGAACATCCAGGATAATCACTAAGGGGGCAAGACATGCCCCAAAAGATTTCCTGAGGAGATCTATTAGAAGAGGTGGGAGAATCCCACCTCTCTGACATGCTTCTATTGACTTGGGAGGGTGGAGTTGAAAGGACTGTATCTTATCTCATAGAAGTGAAACTCAACAGTTGTTTGGTTAATTGAAAAAAACTAAAGCAGGGTATCAGAGTAATGCATCCCTTGAACTTTTATGCTTAAACTTGTACTTTGATTACTTTTTTTTTTTTTTTAAAGATTTTATTTATTTATTTGACAGAGACAGAGACAGCGAGAGCAGGAACACAAGCAGGGGGAGTGGGAGAGGGAGAAGCAGGCTTCCTGCCGAGCAGGGAGCCCGATGTGGGACTCGATCCCAG